GTATTCTAGAGGCTATATGTTACATTCTTCATATTCTTTGTTCCTGGCTTGAATTTTAGTTAAACACTTTGACTTAATTGCTAGTGGCATGTTGTATCACCAACATAAAGTGAGTAGGGTTAGCAGGTTAGGTGTGGTGTGGTCACGTGTAATTATTGCAACATGGGTTTGATTTAGGTCCCATCTCGAATCCTCTGGGGGTTGTTTCTGCATAAATGTTATGTTCCTTTGCCTTTACTTCTCTATCTATTCTCATCATCAACATATTGGTGTCCAGCATGTATCTATCTTAGTTGGATTAAGACTTCGCCAGAGAAAATGGTGCACCAGAAAATTTCTTCTGAGTATGAAGTTTGCAAATTTCTAAGTTGAGAAACACTAGACCAAGTACAGGACGGAAAAGAAATGATGGTTTGTTCCTCACCTATATTAAAAATGGATAGAATTAGTTTTGATAAATTTTACTTTGAAACAGTGAATAAGGTTGTTTTGATGCGTAGAGATGGAAACTTGAGTACATAAGGTTGTTTTGATGAATCTAACCTTTTTGTTAAGGGTCTGAACAAGGTTGTTTTTATGTGTAGAGATTGAAACTTGGTTATATATATTTTGTTGCAAATTGTAATTAGTGTTCTTAATGTGAATAATGTGTTGAATGAGTTTGATCTAAATATTAAGGTGCTAATTGGAAGTAGAAGTTATTGAAGGTGATTTTGGTGATTGGGTATAATCCTAATAAATATATGGGACAAAATAATTTGATTCAAAATGGTTGGAGTAAGAGTTTTGAAATGTATGGGATGAAATAGATCATATGGCAAAAAAAAATAAAAAAAAATTCACATGATAGTGATAACTTAGATAATTGTTGGACACATCATTAGTTAACATAAATGGATTTTAAAAAATAAGATACTAAATTTATTAAAATAATGGACTGATGAGATTAAAAATCATTTTATCCTCCTTTTTTTTTCTTTTGAGTAGCCTTTTCTTTACTACACTTCTACCATTTGACTTGTCTCGGTATTTGGGCTTTTCTGGCCCATCTTGTATCTAAAAACCTAAAACAAGTGCTTTACGAAGACATAACATGTTATTTTGTAAAATGATTAAAATATTTTTTATTTATTTTTGTTTGAAGTTCTAAAAATATTTTTCATTTTTGTACTTCTCTATACCTCCATATTTTTTCTACCTGTTTATGATTCTTTCATCTTCGTTTTGTTCACCTCCATTAAAGATCATTTCCAGTCTATATGATTAGAAACTATTAACACTTTGTACTTATTATAGAATATTTGTCCAATGTCTATAAAAATTAGTTTAAAGTGTACATAAGAATTTAGACTGCTGAATTAAGATCGCAATTATGGATTCCAAAATAACTAATCTATAATATATTTATGGAACATCCAATTTCAGAAATACATCTTGGATTAGTTGTTGAGAAATTTATTTTTAGATTAAGTGTTTTGGAAATACATTTCAAATTAGATGTTATAGAAATATATTTCAGATAGGATATTCTGAAAATAAATTCTGAAACTCATTTTCAAATTAAGTGTTTCAAAAATGTATTCAGAATTGAATATTCTGAAAATGAGTTCTATCCAAAATGTATTTTCGAAACATCTAATCTAAAAATATATTATGAATTAATTGTTCTATAAATCATTTCTGGATTGGATATTTTGGAAATGAATTCCAGAACAGTCAAGCAAGAATATTTTCCATAACACCCAATCCGAAAAAGAAGAGAGATATAAGGGTAATGTGAGATTTGTATTAATTATGGGGGTGCAGGAAGAATTGATGGAGGTGCAGGAAGAAACATGTTTCGTTTTTGGGCAAATTCTATGGGCTTTTACAGAGCAAGGCCTAGCCGGGGCATGCTCGGAGGAAAAAAAAAAATAAGATTTAGGTTTATAACATAAATTAGGTTTTAGTAAAATAAAATTATATCGTAATATAGATATATAAATAAAAAATCTATTGATAGAATGAACTACTTTATGAAAATCTGAAGTTATTGATAAAAGTTACAATGAAAAGTTATCATTTTAATGACAGATTTTGCATGTTAACAATTGGTCACAGTTACGTCATTTATATATTAATTCGTCTTAGACTGTGCTACTTAATTATACTTTTATCATTTTATTTGCAATGAAATGAAATAGTTATCATCATATATAAATATAACTAAATAGATTGGTTCTCAATCAAATTGTGAAAACACAAATATTTTAGAGAGTTTACAAGAGTATAAATAAAATAACTTTGTCAAATCTATGTACATTTTTTTATATGTGATGAAAAAAAAAATGTTCGAATTCAAAAAACCAAAGTGGTAGGGTCTTCAAAATTGGAGCGGGCCCAAAGCTGGGCCCATGTGGAAGAATCCAGAAAAGTTGGAAAACATAAGAGGCATGTTGTTATATTCCTCTTTGCACAAGAAACCACTATTTCCACCTGTGAGTTCTTTATGGGACCAAATCTCTGTCACAGCAAGAAACAAACCCTAATTAACACTCACTGCCATAACCCTTCTCTTCTCATCTCTCCATATATCCTCTCTTCAAAAGCATCCAAAATCTTCCATAAAGTGAAAGAACTGAATATCACCTTTTTAGGTTTCCTTTAAATTTTAAATGGCATGTGGAAAGAGACACTTCCTCTTGCTGGTTTCATGTCACCAACCCACCATCTTTCTTTTCTTTCCATTCTTGTTTAATTTATGTATCTTAGAACATGCACACAAACCTAATCACTTCTTAATCCCATGGATCAATCTGAGGAACAGTGACAAGATTCTCTTACACATTATACTCTATACTCTACTTTAGTTAATAAATGGGATGCATGTATGTAGTATGATTAGAAAGATCCTTCTTTTTCTAACACACACAAAACCCAATGCTTAGAGAAGGTAGGGGTTCTGGGATGATACATAGTCATTTAAAAAGAGCACAGAAATAAAAGCATCTAAAAAGTTTATTCTTGTCTTCTTATTCTCTCTTTATTCCCCTCAGAAACTACAATGAAGTTGCCCCCTCTTCATCTTGATTTTAGCTTTATCATGCATGTCCCATGAAAGAAAAGATAGCATTAACATGCACGTTACTCTCTCTCTCTCTCTCTTGCAGATGGGATTAGTTCATCTTTTCTCTGTAACACTGCAGGAAAAAGATCGAATCTAACGCAGAATAAAGTAATAAAGAGGTGTCTGTCTCCTAGTATCACCCTCTTTTCTAAAAATTAAAATGAGAAATCAAAAAAAGATTCTCATCAATAAACGTAGCTGGTGTTGTTCTATTCAAAATCAAACTCAAATATTTCAATCAAGAGATTTGAACTTCGGCTCCCTCGTTCACCATAGCAGACACAAACTTGTCCATAGATTCCTTCTGAAGTAATTAAAGTGGAACTTCCAAAATGATTTTAAATTAAAAGTGAGCAGTTTTACACACACGTATTCATATAAATGCAGTCATAGTCACAGCATGTTTTCGTGTACATAATGCATAGTGTTACGGTTCAAAGAAGAGATCGTTGGTCAGTTTAAGGGGACCCATCAAAACACTAAAAGATCTTCTTGAACTTCATCTCCTAAAGTAAGTTTTCTTTTCTACTGGAGAAACATCAGCACCAGTAAAAGATTCGAGGAGATTTAATGCAGCTTACTGTACATATATAACCATAATGTGAAAAAAATATGGTAATGGATATGCATGAGAGCAGATAAATGCTGAACTCAGATTAAATTAATTGGTTATACTGTCATCAATCTCGTTGAAGCAGGATAGAAGTATATATTATGAACTATAAAATTTCATCCTTAAATATTTAATATAATGGTATATCTAAAACTTAATTCTTAATTAATCTCAAATAATGTTTGAAAATTTACGCGTTCAGTTAAGTAGTAATGCTGCATTCTTATAATTCATACTTCAATAATATATATGCATGTTAGATACAAGATATAGACAATTCCATCATATATTATAAGATTATCATTTGGCTATATATCTTAAACCTCGTGTAAAGTGGATTTAAACTTCTTTTTTTCTCTATCTCTCCCTCGGTAGATTTTATCTATTTTCATAATGTATGTGGTTTTGTCTATAAAGTCTGATTTAACTTAACCGAGGCCACGAGAGTAACTATAAGCTATGAATTCTTGCACCGCGCCTGAGGTTCCACGTAAAGTTATCGGTAACAGATATATATATATATATATATGTATGTATGTATATATATGTACACACACTAAAAGAGAAAGCGAAAGCTAAATGATTCCCCTCTAAACCCTTTCAAAAATGTGAAAAGAAGTAGAAAGTGAAGCGTAATGACAAACTCTTTTGGACATTTCATTAATTGTTTATATGAATATAAAGAACAATGGATATTTTAGTGTAAGAACAAAGTGATGAGTAGCTACAGCACGAGAAACAAGGTGGTTTGCAGTTTGCACAAACTCATTGGTATATTTCTGGTATAAAAAACGAGAAGAGTGAAATTATACAAACATTTCAAAACAATAAAATAATAAGAATTATACGAGAGAATGGTATATATATAGTAATCAAAATAGTGATGATTTTGATGCAGTAGGATACATTTTACTTTGGTACTCCCTCTCCATATGTCAGAAGTGACAGCAGCCTTTCTTGGGTTTTTCTTCTCTTTTCTTTATCTTTGATTTACAATCTTCTACCCTTTGTTCTTTCTTTCCAGCTTGTCCCATTGCACACTGTTAGTTCCTTTGTGAGAGTCACCAAAGTTTCATAAATAGGCCTCCATAGGAAAAGAAACAAAAAAGAGACCAAACTATGGATATTATTTCATGGCCTTTTCTTGAAAGGAAACTTGAGGGAGGCTTCAAGCATTAATGATGATGACGACTATGATGCTGTCTATATGGTTTTTGTTTTTTCTCTACACTTCTCTCTCTCTCTCTACTTTTCTTTTTTCCTTGTTGGGTTCACCCTCTTCTACCCATGATGATCCGGGTTGTCAGGGTCTGGCCAATAAGAAGAGTACTTCAACCATTCAGCTTCTTGTGGGTTTGTGATGGATGACTCCTGTAAGCAAATTGCACAGATATTAAAATACTAGGGTTAGGGTTTATGAAAAGTTATTATAGTTCAAGAATATTATGATTCTAATTAATCTCCATGTAGCATTTATTTTTCATGAATTAAAGGATTTATCTGTGTCATATGAAAGATGGATTCAAACTATGAATTCTACATGACAAAAAGATAATTATGGAAAATGGAAATTTACTGGTTCATCATGAATATATGCCTTTCCAACTCACGGTCAAAATCTTAAACGTCAATGGCCGTTTTGCCTAACACGACCCAATGGAAAAATAAAATAAAATCAAGTGGCTTTCACTTTTCCCAATCATAGTTAACTTGTTCATGAGAATAAAGAAAAAGAACAAAGATAAAACTGCTAAACGTTAGAAGTAGTTTAATGAGAAGAACAAATTATGTTAGTGGTTTCTATCTCTTAAAATAAAATAAAAGAAGTCTTTTTTTTCCTTTAAACTTCCTTGTGGATTCTATTGATGTCCCACTTTTTGTTTTACTATTTTTCTTTCTCTATATATAATGGGAAGAAAAACGTAAACTTAAAATAAAATAAATGTTTTTCATTTTTTTTCTTTATATGCTTCATTATGTGCCCTCTTTTTCCTTTTCTTTTCCTTGGCATTATGACACACAAAGTTCATATATAATTCTGAGTCAAAAAGTTCTTTCTTACCTCTTTGATTTCAGTTGAAGTGCAACCCATGATGAGTTCCTCCAAACCAGACGCAGACCTTCCTCCAAGCTTATGATGTTGTTGCTGTTGTTGCTGCCAAGTGTACAAATACCATAGATGCATTTTCCAAGGTCAACAATCAAATTCAAAACACACATTTTAATCATCGTGTTGAACACTATTCAAAAAGTGAAAAGACAGTTTCATGCTTGTGATTTTTCAAGCACTCACGAAAGCTTGCCTAGTTTAGTTATTGAATCTGATTCATGCACAATAACATGCAGACTCACTCCTTTGGATTTTCACATACTAATTAATTCACTCGTCTTTTTTTTTTTCTTTTTCTTTCAAGCTTAGTTTTCCTTTTATATTTATTTATCGTTATTATTATTATTATTATAAATCACGATCTCTCATAACCTTTTAAGGGGGCATGTACAAAATTTTTGTTAGTGCATCATGAAAGTAATTTATGGCCGATAGAAACTCTTATTTATGTAATAAGGTATCAAATAAACATTTTAACTAAAATGTTTACTCAGTGCACTCTTTTTATGGCCACTACTATTTGGGTACTAGCTATAGTAGTTCTCAATAATGAAAATTAAAAAGGAAGAAAACTATAATCATGTATATAATAATGTTTAGGAAGAGCAAATTGAGTGGTGATTACCTGGAAGTTTTCATTTTGGAGCATTATTCTAGAGACATGGTAAGAGTTGTCATCGAGAATGATGGAAGTGTGGTGGAGGGGAGGTGGAGAGATGATGGTGGAGATGGGATGTGACGGCCTACTGATATGAAAAGCTGAGTTTGAAATCTGATGATGAGCATGTTGCTGATGTTGTTGTTGTTGTTGATGATGATGATGATGAGGTGCATGCTGTGCTCTCTGCCGTTCATGCACTTCTTCACATGAACCTGATGCTTGCACTACTTCTCTTGCTGTGGAAGCCTCTCCTATTCCAACCTGCATTTTCCACCAACATATTCAGCTGTTAACTGTTATACCATATCTCCCTCAAAAAACATAAGAGAGTAAATAGTATATATATGCACATACTGTCATTTATACTTTTTGTTACTTTTAATTAACAAGTATTTTTTAAAGGTTATACTAAGTGATTTCAGGTTAATTGATAAGTACTAATAGAAATCAAACTAAAAAGAAGAGAATATATCAGCCTCATCTTTTCTTTTTATCTTGGTGTGTGAATATAGATATTTTAGCTGTAACTTTGTTGCCTTCGTTCTATCAACTCATGTGGGTGTTACCTTCAGCGGTAGGTAAACAGGCAGTGGTTGGTTGAAACTGATTTATAATCATAAATCATAGCCCGTACAGTTTCATGCGGTGTGTGCAAGCAATGGTGTTATATCAGCAGCTACCTTAATCCTTTCATGTCTTAATTTCACTTTTTTGTGCAAAAGCAAACTCTGGTTTTACCAAAAGAATGTTGAAATTCAGTGAATTATGGTAGCTTTGGTCAGCTATGTAAGTGAGACATCACGTTCAATTAATTGATTTGAAAAAAAGGTGTCTAATTAACATCATAACTATGCAAGTGTCCAATCAAATGTGATGCTATATATATACATGTTACAGCATGTTTGAATGATATGCATGATTGATATATATGATTATATGTGTGTGCGGTGTACCTCATCAAAGCTTTTCCTGAAAGGGATGAAGCTAAAGTGATCGGGTTTTAGATGTTGAACGTCCAAGGGATGATGAGTGAAACTTGTCATTGGAGGGACACCAACAACAGCAGACATCTCATCTCTGTGAGTAACAATTTCTCTGGAAGAACAACTTCCACTTCCACTGTCCCTTCTACCACTGTTGTTAGGTTCTCCACTTCCTTCACCAGTTGTTGCACTTCTATCTGACCAGTTGCACTGTCTTGGCTGTGTCTGATAGAATATCTTTGACACCACAAGTTCTCCCTCTTTCTCTTCTTCATGCTGCCCCAAATGGTATTGGTGCATCACCCAGTTGGTTTTCTCTGGCTTTCTGTTCTTCCCAAAGTTGGTGTAGAGGACAAGAATTTTCTTGCAACCCTTTTGTTTCCCATTCACCATCACTGGCCTCGTCTTACCAGTCTTGTGCCACCGGGTTTCTCCACCTTGCAAGTCACATTCGTTTTGAATCTTTCTCCTCTTTCTTGTCCCAGTTGTGTAAGCCTTTGAAGGTCTATGGAAGAAGTGCCTGCTCAATCCATCTCTTGTCACTCCTATTAGACACATATATGAACCACACACCCAAAATCAAAGTTAGGTCGACTTAATTAGGTGAACTGAAAAATAGTTTCTTTTATATTAATTATAGTACAAGTTTCTTAAAAATGCGAAAAGAGATTTTGGTCTCTCTCTATGTATAGTAAAACCTAACTGGGAATTAAAAAATAATATGGGAATAATGGATAAGATGGTTAGAAAACCATTCTAACACTCTTAGAAATAGTGAGATTTAGAAATTAAAGGGGAGGTGATTTGAAATTTTTTATCAGTATATTTTCACTTTGTACATCATATCTCTCACACCTGGAAGTTTCTCCGGATGGGTATAACAAATTCCATCTTCTCCTTCAATAGTGGGAATGAACTCATCTATCAAAGGGTGTGATTTCATGTTCTTTGCCTCCACTTTGGCTTCAAGATGTTCTATTAGTTCTTGGTCTGTGGGATCAAACTTCACTCCTGCTGGCAGGCCTAGCCAGTCCTACAGTCTCCATTGAAATTCAAGTGAAAAACCAAAATTAAAGCTAGAGAGAGAGAGAGAGAGAGAGAGAGAGAGAAGAGGAACAAGAAGAATATAATACAAGGCAAAGAGAAAAGAAAGAGGGTGGTGAAGCCTTTAGTTAGCAGAAAAATAATAATCAAACTTTAGCAGTGACAAAAAATTAAAAAGGGAAACCCCATCAAATGAATTGCTCAAGCTAGAGTCGAATAACAAAACAGCCACAAGCATACAAATATGGCTGTACTTTTTTTCTTGTTTATGATATGATTCTTCTTCATACTGTCAAAGGCTTTTCAGTGAAGGAAAGAATATTATTGAGATATTTTTTCCGTACCGGCTTCCCTTCAAACTTGTGTCCGCAACCGGGGCACTGCTTGGATCCACACAATTGATGCTCTTCAAGCTTGGCATCTATGAGATCAGAACTGCTTACAGAACTCAAGTTGCTGATCTTACTCATCGTGACGTGTGCTTGATGCTGTGCGTGTGCTATCTCTCTTGATGAAACCAGATGCCTTCAAATATTATTGCAACTCCTTTTTTATGGAACAGTCCACAACTGAGCATGTCCAAGTCTGTACTCTATATTACAGGAAAATCCAAGACCCGATAGAGATCCATCAAAACATTAAATTCTCCAAATGATCAACAAAGGAAGCTGGATGAAGAAGGCCGAAATAACAACATATAACATGGCTAATAATATTTCCTAAGTTTTCAAAAACTATATATGCAAACATGAATCAAGAAATACCACTAAAAAATATATGTATTAAGAAATTAAACGCATATATGCTCGAGAAGATGATGATCCGGTCGAGGAAACTCGCGAAAAATATGCAAACAAAAAGAAAAATCTTGAATATAGACAAAATATGATGATGGAAAATACTAACTCCCTAGCGTATACGCGACTGTTAAAGAGAGGAAATCGATCCTAGACAATAAAAATCTGCAGAACCCAGATGAGAATATGCAGAAAACAAGGAAAATATTCGGTGAGGATAAGGTAAAGAAGAGCATAGAGTAAGGAAAGAGGAAAGAGTTACAATAAGATTGAGCTATAAACCTGCTTTAACCATGGAAAACACCAGAATTCCCTATCTAGCTAGATACTTTAACTGAAGGCAGTGAGAAAAATAATAAAGGAAAAGGTGGCTAGCAGCTGCTTCAAGCACACATATAGTACCTTTAAGTCTTTGCTAATTTAAGAAGTGCATGTATGTAAGCGGTTTATGAAAGAGAATGAAAGAGAGAGAGAGAAAAAGAGAAGCTGAGAAACAGGATAGAAAGAAAGAAAACCCGGTTGGTTTTTTCTGACTAAAGCTCAAAATCCAGCCTCTCTCTTCTTCTCTATCCTACTAGTATTATTACACCTTTCCTTGATCCTTGACTACAAAAGCAAAAGCCACGAAACGGCCACATAGCTGTTACTAATCAAGGATCTCGTACCAACCTAACAATTTGTGTCTTATTTTATATATATAATTTGATTAAGAAAAATATATATCCCATTGAAACACGAAATCATTTAGTTAATGAATCGGAATTAGTACAAAACTTAGACATATATATAGTTTGTCAGATGTTACTGATGTTTATATTGTTTAATTAGAATTAGAGTTTTGTTTTTGTTATCTATATAGGTTTCTAATGTAAACTTTTACAAAGTACATTATTGGGAGGGGTTTAATTTTGATTTAAAAAATAATTAATCATTTGTATAATATACATTAAATTGTTTTCTGTTTCATTTCATCAAAAGGTTAGCAGGAAAAACAGGTAGAATGTAAATTAATTAATAGATTTTAAAATGTGAACAGTCACTTCTTAATACGTGTCACAGAGTTTGGAGTTTGAGTAATAACGACGACATGGGGCAGAATTACGGTCTCATTATTTAAGAATAACAGATTAAAAGCTAAGATTTTTAGAGAGAGAAAGAAAGACATGGTGAGACACCCAGATGGAAATATGGGAAAAGGGGATGATAGAAACTCACATGGGTTTTGAGCTGGAGTGCTGATCATGATGCTTTTGCCATGAATGTTTTGCACACACAAGAGAGAGAGAAAGAGAGATGAGTGGGGAGTATTAGGAGGTGGTTGCTTGATAAGCAAGACAAAGCTGTGTGTACTTGATGGACCACCACCTCTTCCTCTAATTACCACAATTTATGTTAATTCATATTCTTTTACTGTAACTTGGACCAGAAACAGAAAATAGTTTGCACCTGCAGGTAATAAAAATAAAGCTTAATTTATATGCATTGAAATCATAAAGATTTTTCACAGCATCAGTAAAACTTGATAAAACTAGTAAACCAAACAACAGTTAACAGGGTCAATATGTTTACAGATCTACCATATATTCAGATAATTGTAATACTCCCTCTGTTTTGCTAGTAATTCTTTAATTTACTGGTGCAGAGTGAAAAATAATGTTGAGTTAATAATTGTTGGGGTGGTGCTACTATTTTGCAGTCTCTTTTTATTTTGTTTTGTACTTTAATTTGGGGTTGTATTATTTCTATTGGGAGCTTATGTAAAGTATTGATGAAATTATGTATTTGACATTGTACAAGAAGCAGAACCAGAGGAGTTGGTGGGTCCAGCATGGAAATCTTATGCCCCCATAAAGTATCTTAATCAGATGATGGCTAGGTTTCACGTTTATAACAGCATTCTTTGGAGCAGTCAAGAGAAAAATGATGGAGGGTCCCTAATGATGTTTGCAGTATAGATAGATGGCCATGATTGTCCCTTTGTCTCCTGTTTTTTCCTTTTTTCTGTTTTTCTTTCTCTTTGCAAATTGATAGCTTTGCTTTTTCTTCATGGAGCTCTGAATGAGAAGGGGTAACCACATTTTTTTCCCTCAATTTCTTAGACAGAAACACACACCTAAGGAATATATCCTATCTTAAGGGTATATAGACCAATTTGGACCAACCATAGAAAAAAAATCAACTTGTGTATCATCATTTCACATTTTTCTGATGAACACATATACTGTATAGTTGTTTGTTTATAATAAATTTGCAGGTTTTTTCCATTTTAGGAAATCAAATTGCTTTGATTATCCATTTAAGTTGACCTTAGATGAACCAACCCAAGGAGCCCACATTTTTGTAACACATTTCCCACAACCTTGGCTTGCTCTGCATCAGTCATACATAAATATTCCACTGTTTAATAATATTTGTTCACCTATAAAATGGTTGGTGACACAGTTCCAAGGAACATCACCTCTTATAGTAATGATAATTATAGTAGAAAAAGAAGGGTTTAATTTTATATATACACACAAAAATATTCCCAAATACTCTCTTTTCTGCATTAAGAATATTTCTTAAGGTTGTACATTAGTACAATTCTTGATACTGTGTTTATGTATATTCCAGAGTGCAAAGTAAGGTTTAGCCCTGAACACTCCTAAATTTTGGCATTCTTGCAGTAACAGGGATATTAACACAAACAATTCAACTAGAAAATTGCAATTATCATTCCCATGACCAATGGTTATTATTAACATCAATAATTAATAGGGGAGACAAATTTGGTATCATTAGGGTTCTCATGAAATAAGTACAAAGTAATTAATTAGGAGGTAATTAAGAATAAGGAAAACATGAAGGCATAAGAAAACAGAGTTTTAGGACCTTGTTCATGACGTCAAGGTAGGGTTTGAATGAACTTTCAATTTTCTGATTTATTTGACAAGTAGTTTTCAGTTTCTTCTATCATCCAAATGTAGGTATTATTAAAGGGAAAAAAAAGGTAAGATATATCTATTTGCTTTCAAGGGGCAGAGGACAAGTTCTTCTCTAACTTTTGTCCACTGTTTTTTTAGGTTGAACTTTTGTTTTCTGTTGGACAATTATTACAACTGAAATTTACAATAAATTAATATATGTACATATATATAACTATATTTAATATTTACAATAAATAATTCCAAATTATGATATACGTCTATTCTTAATTATTGTTAACTTATTTGAAAATAATTTAATTTCAAAATATATAAAATACGATAAATTAAAAGAAATAGACTATTAAAAAAAACATCTAAATTTTATATTTTCATTTATTATATTGGAGTAGATATTTTTTATTATATGCTTAGAAGTGAAAATAAAAATAAAAATAAAGAGTTAGAAGACATATTGAGCATGGGGGGTAAATTTTGTAAGAGGGTGGCCCATAATTTGACCCAATTATCTTTTTGTTGGGCCTCCTTGTAAGATTGCGTTGAGAGGTGGAATTCCGTGGTGGGTGAAAGGTACCCACAACTTCATGGGCCAAAAGTCCACCAACATCAGAGTCACCACCCAACAATATAATAATATTAAAATATAAACAAATTATCATAATATCAAAAAGAACAAAAACAAGTATAAAAATTTATTCACTCCTATTATGAAAATAAAATAAACCATTTACATTTTTTTAATGAAAAAAAAAACAAAACAAAAAATTAAAGATTATCCTAAAATAAGATGGCGTTTTTTATTAAAATATATCATAATCACGCTAGCATTAGTTGTAGAGAAAAAAATTAAATTGTTTTTCCTTGCAGATTTATTGAACATATAAAAAAAATAATAGGATATATAAGATAAAAAGAAAAAAAATAGTTAGAAAGAAAATAAAAGAATTATAAAAAGATAAAAAATAGATTTCTTATTTTATATATATTTTTTATATGTGAGTGAAAAGGATAATTAATTAATATTTTATTAGTTTATTTATTTAATTTTTTATATTTAATTATTTATTACTTTGCATCTTTCTACGTATAAATAAAAAATAATAAGTAATACTCTTAAGGACAAAACATATAAAAAACTTACTTAATATTTGATAAAAATAAAATAAAAAACGGATTAGAGTTTTAATGCATATAATAGTACATTAAATATTGTAATTGATCCTAATATTATTTAGTGGAATATATATATATATATATATATATATATATATATATATATATACTCTTATTTATAGAGAGAAAATTTTAAATATAATTTAAATTATATGATAATGAGTGATTAATGAATGTTATCGGAATAAAATATTGAACTATTGTTGTCGCTGTAAGAATTTGTCGAGTATATCTCTTTCTGGAGGAAGAGGTGGGTCCTCTTCCTGCAAACCCCCCAGATATGGTATTTAAATATCCGAGAATAGCTCTTTCATGTTCACCCTCTTGATATAATGATTCTTTTTCCCTTTTATCAAAGGATGTCCCTGTCTGGAATGGGTGAGACGGATTGGGTAGTCGATTTAGTCTAAACACCGATAACCTACATTCTCTAATTAAATGATCTACCTGGTATATTATCGTTTGACATTCTTCAGTGTCATGTCCTCGAGCTCGATGAAACTCATACCACGCTTGTTGTTTGGGACCGAGCTGCTTATGGGTGACACGAGGGAAATGTAGGAGTTTAGTTACTCTTACTTCTTGCAGCAATTCTTTCTTTGACACGTCAAGCGGAATAGGTTGTTGCTGATATTGCCTAGTATTAGGCTCCGTGATCTGTCGATTAGGATTTCTGCGTTTGTCATAAGGGTGATAACTCCTTTGGCTATGCGACCCTTGTACATTTCGGGCCCGAATGGTTTTACTGCATTGTCTTGCTGCAACTCCAATTGTTCGGCAGCTTGGCGTTGACAAATTGTTTGGTCGACCTCAATATGGGATGTGGCTCGGGCCCGAACTTGTTTCATTGTTTTGCATAGATGACTGTATGAAGATTCCATGAAAAGGCCCGCCCTCAACCCTTTCATAAAAGCATCCACAAACATGGTTTCATTTGGAGGTAGGATCCTAACGGTCATGCTACAAAATCGGTGTAAGAACGCCCTTATGGATTCGGTTCATCCTTGTCGCATGTCAAACAAATCACTCGTCTTAGGTGCCCGTTGTTTATTAGCAGCAAAATGGGCAACAAAAACTTTAGTCAAGTTATTGAAGTTAGATATTGACTGTTCGAGGAGACCACTGAACCAATCCAATGCAGTTCCCCATAAAGTACCTACAAAAACTTTACAGCGCACAACATGAGACCCACCGCTGATAATCATTTGTGCCCTGAAAGCCTTCAGATGTGCCAATGGATCTTGAGTTCCAGTGAACCGATCGATTTTAGGAGTAATGTATGTGGGGGCAGAGACTCCTCCATGATGGCCTGTACAAAAGGTTGAAAATCCTTATGCACTATCTCTTCCTCATCGTCACTTGAGCTGGGTCGGATCTATTGTCCGATAGCTGCTTGCAACTCCTCCTTCTGTCGCCGCAATTCATCCTACACTTGAGATTCCTTTGTTGTCATATGCTGCGCCTTCTCAGTTTGTCGCTGCAATTCCTCCATTTGTTCCAGGATTAGTTACATTGCGGAGTTATTTGAGTCAACCCCATTAGGGTCTTGATTGTTGTAATTGGTACGAGTCACCATGGTCGTTTTTGCTATTTCGTGTGTGGAGTAGAAAATTTTTTTACCTACCCTACGGTGGACGCCAATATTCTGGAAATAAAAGAGAGATATCCTTAAGTTTTTTCCCCTCCCCTTTTATCTTTTTTCTCCATTAACCATTAGTTTGATTTTATTGTTTCTGACATTATCGATCCCGATAATATCTTGTTCTCAATTATGCCTATATCTTAGACCCATTAAATAATGGTTAACTTCATCCTCCTTTATGAATCTATCCGCTTTATTAATACTTAGATTTGAATTCCAGTGAGCCCAACACCACGATCAAATTCTTTATGTGAATAATTTTGAAGGTATATATGATGATGGTGAGTACTTTCGGCTGAAAAAAAACCATTGAATTTTGAAGCAGTTGGAGGCTCTGCATGAATTTGTGAGCATTTTATTTAGAAGAGATCCTGTGGAATAAGGTTAAAAGGGACTATATACCTACCTTTATGAAAAGTGATTTTTCTATTTAGATTCTGCAACTTACAATTTTGATACGCTTTTCATTAATTGGTTCCTCGATTATTATATTTATTGTTCTAAACTTTGTAAAACAACTTAATGATAGGTTAACGTGATTGATTTGTGAATAAAACTAAAAATAGTGTACAAAAAAAATGGGTGATGGATGGCGAAACACAACTTGACGGTACCTAGGAACCACTCATGTTTTCTATTTATATTCTTGACAGTGGCTATTTTTTTCTATTGTAATTTACGTTATCATTTATTTTTATCCCTTAAATTTAATTATTATTCTCAAAATTTTATAATTTATATTTATTTAAATATTTTATTCTTTATTTTTTATATTTGTTTATTATTTATTAATAATTTATTATTTCAGATTAAAGCATAATTGCCTTTTATTTTTGGCCCATACACTTTTTTTAACTTTCTTTGAACATCATCAACTTCATGTGAGTGTGAGAATGTGAACGCGACTTTGCACGCGCGAATATCGTATTTTGAATGCCTTTATTGTTCAGGATGACGCTTCCAAATAAAAAAAATATACTTTTTTTTTTAATTTCTGAATTTTACAATAACTCATTCTTAATCAACTTAACAACACCGTTTTAACGTTTAATAGTATAGCTAACAAATAATTAAATCACAATGTAAGCTTATTTCAAATGGTAATTTCTATTCACTATAAGTTTGTGACAGGAAGAGAAAAACTATTTCACAAGTGTCATGGGTCATGTAACATGCGTGACGAAAGTGTTACTCTTTACAATTTTATTTTTTTATTTTTTAAGTTATTTTGGACATGCATCAATGCATCATCCATCTAATAATTTATATTTATTAAATAAAATTGTCTTTCGATGATGTTTATAATCCAACAATACTAAAATATTTATGACAATAACTCTGAGGTCAACAATGACATCAGCTAGAAGTTTTTAATTAATTAAAACTTTAGTTTTATTTTCAACAAAAAATAATTATGGTTACTTGCAACAAATTTTTATGTGTTTATATCTTAATATTCGATGGTATTTTGAACTAGCTCCTTTGTAAAAAGTTTTAGAAAATAATTTAAAATTATTTTTATATAAATTAAAAATTAAATAAACTCATTTAAGGTATTTGTTTCAAAATATTATTTTCAGTTCTAACTTGTTGTATAAATCACGATAAAATTGAACTTATACCAATACAATTGGATGAATCTCCACCCTAATAAAAAAATAGTTTTTTTGGTGTTAGTTTACACGACCACCACTCCGAATCGAATATGATATCTATTATTGGAGCAATGAAATCTAAATATGAGTGGTATCAATAATAAATAAATGTTTTTTTATAAGTTTTTTTCTTCACAAATAATATATTAATTGTGAGGTATATACGTTCATATTAAACTACTCTCTCTTTTTTTCTCCTAGGTTTGATATTGATATTTTCTTATTTAATAATTACTTATTTCGATCTTTTTCCTTTACTTTCGCAAAAGGACACTATGAATTATTTTATTTTATTTGAATTTGGCTTGATCCGTACATAAAGTATGCGCTTTTGCATTATTAGGAAGAAATAAGAGACATGATAGGATGAAAATAAGTTGGTAAAATGAAAATAAAAATCAGATACGATTCAAGTGTTCCATTCATAATATTAAAATCTTTAATATTTAGAATATTATTCAAAGATCTTAACACTCTCATGTATTGATAAAAAATCATTTCTTAAAAAAGTTATTATTAAAAATATATTTATACAACATTGTGAGTTTTCCAGATTTCACTATTTCAATTTATTGTTAAACAACACAAACGAATTATTCTAATTAATGTTTATTTGAGTTGTTTTTCATGCAAAATAAACAACTCAGTTACATTTAAATTTTTTTTATTGAAAAATTGTTCTAATTAATGTTTTACTAACTATTTTAATAAATAACTTTTATCAGATAGATATAATCTTATACAAAAAAACCATTTATTTATATTCATTACTTTAAATATATAAATTTTTAAAAATTTTGCATAAAAAATGTTATGAGACTGTAAAACACAATATTTACTATAATAAGAAAATGTTCTTGATTGGATGGTAGAAACTACAAATCTTGATTGGAGATGTTTTAAGAACCCATTATTTTGATTTAACATTTAGCCAATAAATTATAAACACGGAACTTGGTAAATCACCATTCTTAAACTCATCGATATCCTCGTATTCATCAAGTGCAGTTTTAATTTAAAATTTTAACATATCCTCATATTAAAATTATAAACACGAACAAAGGCAGAGAGTGGCTCTGTTTCTGTTACAAAAAACAGGGCTAAAAAATAAAAAAAAAAAGACAACAGGAATCCGGAATCTCCAAGGTTTATTCTAGAAGAAACCACAAGTCCACCACACCACACCATCACTGTGTTCCACGCCGTCCCTCAAAAAAGCTGTGGATCAAAGCTTAGGACTCCAAACCCACACCTCATTCCATTTCCATCTTCTGCCACCTGTTTCTACTTCTCAAGAAAGTTCCTTTCTTTCCTCCTCTTTTTTTCACAACCTTTTACCCTTATGACTCTTCATCATTCATTATTTAAAACCAAATTCCACTTTGGTGTCTGATTCCTTCGGTCAACTCCGTTTACTATAAATATGGCCACTCTTTTCTTCATCTTCTTCAACTCCAATCACAACCACCTTTGAATGGATTCCAACTCTGTATCTAATTCTAATTTTGAGTTTTCAAATCACATCCAGAAAACCTTCGTCAAAAACAACGGTTTCCTTCATCCCAAGCTGGGTTCCGAACCTGCGAGGTCGCGATCACGCGCTGCTATGGCTTCGCCTGCTAACTCCGAGCCTAAGATCGTCACCGGCATAGCCGGTTACATCCTCGAGGACGTTCCGCATTTGACCGATTACATTCCTAATCTCCCAGTACGTTGTCGTTTTCATCGCTATGGTTTTCTCTTACGCCTCCATCCAAAGCTGCTTCTGCAGTTCTTCCCCACCTGATCAACGATCGTGTGGAACCTTTTCTTCTGTCTTACTTTTTTCCTCGAACTACTCGAATGTTTTGTCTTTTTTTATAAACCAATGACTTTCCTTCTTCTTTTTTTCCCTCTTTTTCTTTTCCTTCTGCCGACAACGAAATTTAATGATGGAAAATCTTTCTCAGAAATGAGTTATTACTTTAACAATTTTTTGTTTTTGTGTAGAATTTTACTGAAGAAAAAAAATGTTATTTTTCACTTGGTACTAGATTAGTGTGTGATTATTATGTGTTTGTGTTGCTGCAGACATACCCTAATCCGTTGCAAGACAACCCTGCTTATTCAGTTGTTAAGTGAGTGTTAATTGATCAATTCTTCTCTTGTGTTCTAATTTCCTTTACTTTGTTGGTTGATTGGTGAATTGAATTTTGCTTACTTGTCGTTTGGCAGACAGTACTTTGTGCATGTTGATGACAGCGTTCCTCAAAAGGTTGGTTTTTGGTTACAATTTTAATTGGTTTTAAGTAATTAGGGATGGGTTTGACGATGCCTAAAGCTTTAGCTGTTAACTGGTTTCTACGTTAGGGTGGTGCTGCATCTCCCTTGCTAAGTATGGACACCTTCACATCCAAATTTTAATGGAATGGTAACTGCATAGGGTGAAATGTTGGTGGGATTTTATGTTTTCAATTGCAGCTTAGACACTCTTACCTACTTACTTAAATTTACCTGCCATTTATTTCCTTTCTGTTCTGACTTTATGAAGGTCGTTGTTCACAAAGATGGTGCAAGAGGGGTACATTTTAGGCGTGCTGGGCCCCGTCAAAAGGTACGTTCTATGTGTGGGTCTGCGGGTCTATCTGGGCATTAATTGATATATCTGGTGACTTATTTTTATTTATGATCTTCTGAAATTGGATATTCAGGTGTATTTTGAAGCAGATGATGTTCAGGTTGCTATTGTTACTTGTGGAGGTCTGTGTCCCGGGCTCAACACTGTCATTAGGGAATTAGTATGTGGTTTACACCATATGTATGGCGTGAAGAAAGTTCTCGGAATCAATGTACGTGAATGTTTATGGCATTTACTCTCATTCTTCCTGCTTCTTTCTTTCTTTCTTTCATTTTAATTATTTTTATTGTTGTTTTGGGAAAAGGGTGCAGGGCCGTTAAAACTGAAAACAGGTTCTGTGCTTGTTTCATACGAGTTTCACCCCGTCGCTTTCAATTGCATATCGTTTCAAACAAGCTTTGATGTCTATGTTTGGTTATTAATGTACTAATTTGCACTTGTCTAAAGGGACCAATGCATTGTTCTTGCTTTGTAGTAATTGTACAGGCTTTTCCTTATTTGGTGTCAATTGAAATTTATTTATCCTGGAGTTTATTTCCCCCATCTACACTAATATCAATTGCTACCATAGTTCGTATTGGTATCTTTAACTAATGATGCTGTTGTGATGTGAAGGGAGGATACAAGGGTTTCTATGCTCGCAACACAATCAATTTAACTCCTAAAAGTGTGAATGATATACATAAGCGTGGGGGGACTGTCCTCGGAACATCACGAGGTGGACATGACACCAAAAAGATAGTTGACAGTATTCAAGATCGGGGAATCAATCAGGTTTTCATTTTTTTCTATTTACAAGTATATTTTTTTTGTGTATGTACATCAGATTAATATCTTTTTGAATTTCAGGTTTATATAATTGGAGGAGATGGAACTCAGAAGGGTGCATCTGCAATTTTTGAGGTATTTAAAATTACTATCAGACTTGTGTGTTTAGGATTGTGAATGAACATTTTAACAAGATCATTTGGATATTTAAGATCTGTGAAACTAATTGCATTGGAGTAGAGTAGCATTTAATGAAATATTCAACCTGATTATTCATGCAGGAAGTCAGAAGGCGTGGTCTCAAAGTTTCAGTTGTAGGAATCCCCAAAACAATAGACAATGATATCCCGGTAAATCTTTGTTTCTTCTACATTGTGGCTTTAAACTAATAATTAGCATCATTAGTTGGTAAATTTCTTCTGCTGTCGCTTTGTTGCTTACTAGGTTATTGACAAGTCCTTTGGCTTTGACACTGCTGTTGAGGAGGCTCAACGAGCTATAAATGCAGCACATGTTGAAGCTGAAAGTGTTGAGAATGGCATAGGTGTTGTCAAATTGATGGGTAGAAACAGCGGTAAGTTTCCTAAATATTCCTAAATGTTTATAATACCTCCACCCACCTGCTTTAGGGTTCAATTTTAATATCAATTGCCTAAGAATAATGAGAAGCTTGCATCTTTTCTTATTAGACCCGACAAAGTATGGGATGCCAAAAATTCTGGTTGGGAGCGTCTTTGACCTTTTTAACGTAAATTTTGAATCCTGAAAGCTTAATGTGGGAGTAAAAGGCAGACTACAAGCAAACCATTTGTGGTTTCAATTCGATCTGTAATCCATCCATCGATTAGTATGTTAAAAGAACAAGGCCATCAAGACAATCATATATTTTCCTCTCATTGTAACGTTTGAAAAAAGAAAAAGAAGCTCTAATATGATGTTTAACAGTTGTCAGAGAACTTGATTTCACTTCATATATGGTATATTTTGGGTGTATGGTGCAGGATTTATTGCAATGTATGCTACTCTTGCAAGTCGAGATGTGGATTGTTGCTTAATTCCAGAGTCACCCTTTTACCTTGAAGGTCCTGGGGGACTTTTTGAATATATAGAGAAAAGACTCAAAGAAAATGGGCACATGGTTATTGTGATCGCTGAAGGAGCAGGACAGGAACTTGTTTCCGAGAGTGTGCAGTCCATGAGTAAACAGGATGCTTCTGGAAATAAGCTTCTTCAAGATGTTGGCCTATGGATATCTCAAAAGATAAAGGTTAGAAAGTTGTCATTCTATTTGCATTCTATTAATCTTTGTGACTGCCTCATCCTCTTAATTTCTTTGTTGCAAGTGAAACACAACTTGTTTACTTCCCTCCCTCCTCTCATTCTTTCTTATGCTCTGATCCTTGACTGATGATCAGTCTAGCATCACCTACTATCACTGTCACCACTAGTTTACATGTTCTAGGACTTGTAGCAGAATATTGTTCAAGTGATACAAACTAGACCGTGCAGAATATGCTCTATATTACTATTTGCAGATTTTGTCACAACTGATAAACATTTATGAAGATATTTTCTGTTGCTTAATATGAGCATTTTGACCTTCCAGGATCATTTTGCTGAACAGAAGACACTGCCCATAACTCTCAAATACATAGGTCTGTAAAATAATAAACTCGATGGAATTTTATATATGAGCACACTGAAAAGACCAATGGATGAAACACTAACGGCTTATCTTTTCTGTTATACAGATCCAACTTACATGATCCGAGCTGTTCCAAGCAATGCTTCTGATAACGTGTATTGCACACTTCTTGCTCAAAGTGCTGTTCATGGAGCAATGGCAGGTTACACTGGCTATACAAGTGGACTTGTCAATGGAAGACAAACTTATATACCCTTCTATGTAAGTTCATCAGGCATGATATTTGTTGGCTCCGCATAATAAACAAGACTTATTTATTAACATTCAATAAACTCATTTCTAATGACATTTCATGTTTTTGTGCATTGTTATGCAGAGAATCACTGAGAGACAGAACCACGTAGTGATAACTGATAGAATGTGGGCTAGGCTTTTATCTTCAACCAATCAACCCAGTTTTTTATATGTGAAGGGTGACCATGAAGAGAAGAAGGAAGAAGAAACATTGAATCAGTTGCCGGATGAACATTGTTCAAAAGAGAATTCGGCCAACAAAGAAATCAGCTGTATCAGTCCCGCAGCTTGCTAGATATTATTTTTGTCATTTGGTAATCCTTTATTATGCGTTACAGGTAGTATATAAGAGCTATCATTTTACCCTTGTTTGTCAATAAGATGGCTGTGGAAAACTCAGCCTTGCACATGAAAATGCTTGTCAATATTTGTGTTGTACACTACAAGCTTTCCATTGAGACTGCTTTATGTGGAAATGAACTTTCATTAGTTTGAACTAGTTATCCACGACTATGCTCGCTGAGGCACTAGGCCAATCACACAGACCAAGTGAACAATAATGAAGTTACGGAAGTATGAAAACCATTTATGAAGTATGAGAATTCGTGTCAGTGTTAGTATGTGAATTTCTATGGCTTAATATATTAAGTGAACATTTTCACCTACTTCTTATTGGCGTTGAAAGCTTCCATAATCAAGTCTCCAGCATGGCATGCAATTGTTGAACAAGGTCTTCGGTATCGTGTCGGAGATATTCAAGTTTCAACAAACATGTTAGGATTTAAATACTAGAAGAGAATCCAACTTAAAAATTCGTTCCACTCCATTTAATTGATCAAGACATTATATTTTCTAATGAATTTTCACTTTTATGATTACTATTATTCATGATTATAATTAGTTTTATGTTGATAATGTACATTGATCGTTAATACAAATATTTCTTTTAGATACTTTAATTTTACAGTTTTTTTTTGAGATATTTTAATGTTAAGTAATAATCACTAAAAAAATACATTTTTAAAAACAAAATTAATTTTGTCTTTTAAGAAAAATTACAATGTAATTGTCTAATCTCTAGTACTCTTTATAACTGCTTATTTAATTTAAATTAAGATTCATCTAAAATTTAATGCGAAAAAATCTATATTTAAAATCGACATTAATCATTAAACATTAGTTTTGTTAAAAATAAGATTGGAAATATCTAAAAAACTGAACTTGAATTGTAATTTTTTTTTAAATCTCATTCATCAACAACAATTTGCTTCATTTAATTCTTCTTATTTTTTTGTGATTTTAGACTTTAAATTTTAATTTTAATTCGATGTTGAATTATATGTTTTATTTATTCTATTTTTATGTAATTAAACTCTACCTAACATATTTTATTTAGTAGATCGTAAAAGTAATTAGTTAATAAATGTAAAAAAATATAAAAATTGATTATTTATTCAACATTAATTTTTTAAATATATGTTGTAAAATTATAAAAGAAAATAAAGAAGAGAGAATAAAATGGTGAATTAGAAATTAAAACTTCGAAGATTGTAATTAATTAAACAAGTAAAAAAAAAAAAAAAAAAGACATGTGAGTAGCAAGTGTTAAAAGAAAGAATAAGGTGTTGTTTGTTTAGATTGGGAGAGGTGGAGTGAATTAGGGAAGAATCAGAATGGGGATCCGATTCGTGTTGATGGTGAACAAGCAAGGCCAAACACGCCTTGCTCAATACTACGAATACCTCACTCTCGAAGAGCGTCGAGCCCTCGAAGGTGAAATCGTTCGCAAATGCCTCGCTCGCAACGAACAACAGGTTCCTTCAATCTTCAATTTAGATCCACAATTCAACTTTTCAGCTCCATATTCTGTATTGCAAATTCGCTTTATGCGCGATTCATCTTTCGGCTTTCAAATTCTGACTCACAAATTAATTTTCGTGATCGTTGATGGACAGTGTTCCTTTGTCGAGCATCGCAACTACAAAATAGTATACAGGCGCTACGCCTCCTTGTTTTTCCTCGTTGGAGTCGACGATGATGAGGTAAAGAAATTAAACCCTTTCTCTATGGCTTATTCTCTTCGAAAGACAGTGGAATTTGAAGTTCATGTGAAAACTAAGCAGTTAAATGTCTTTTTGACATGAATGAATTGGGTGAAATTGACACAACATTTCAGTCTGCTGTAAAATGTAATGTTAGGGTAACCAGTGTTGGTGAAGAAGTCTCGAATTGAGTGAACATAAATGGTAAATGCAACGCTTTCAGGTTTTGATGGATGTGGCGTCAATTTCCCTTTTGTGATTTGTTCGTCACATGTTGAATGAGATTTCTTCAGTATTTAACTTGCTTGTATTCCATAACATTGATCTTCTGGGACATATTGATCTGGTTAAACCTGTGCAGCTTTAATGGAATTTTGTATGAAAATCACTTGGACTTAGTTCCTCTAAGCGGGTTGAGGGTGAAACATGTAATCACCGTCGTTGATGAGAGATTCAACCAACACATTTATGATTTGTTATGCATGTATATGTTTTTCTTTGCTGGATGATTATGCATGTACTGTAATGTTGACCATTAGTTTTCTCATTAATGGCTTTAATTTAGCTTCTCTAAAGTGATTTTCTTGTACATAAAAAATGATTTTCTTATATCATTATTTTCTCATGTATATCACTTGGTTTTAACTCCTCTCAGGTGAGTAAGGGAAAAAGTAGTGTTCGCAGTAGTTGATGATAAAATTAATGGTTGACATTCCAACATAATCTTGATTTCTTATGCATGTATATGTAATTTTGACTGTTGACGTTTTGATCCATGACTGGAATTACTTACTTTATCTTCTAAAGTGAGTTGTTTACATTTACAAGGGCCGGATCCGTGTCACTTTTTGTGTAAACAATTTAGAATACTTTCATTGCTGCTTATTCGACCTTCTGGTGATAATGTTGCAGAATGAGCTGGCTATTTTGGAATTTATACACCTCTTGGTTGAAACCATGGATCGTCATTTTGGCAATGTGGTATATTTCTATCGCTTTACGAATTGATCGATTTCTTCCTTCCTTCCCTGTTTTGAAGGTAGATTCCAGTAACTGTGCTTTTATTTCTCATTCACTTTTACTTGCAGTGCGAGCTAGATATTATGTTCCATTTAGAAAAGGCGCATTTTATGTTGGAGGAAATGGTCATGAACGGTTGTATTGTGGAGACAAACAAATCAAATATTCTGACTCCAATTCAGCTGATGGATAAAACATCATGAAGGAGAAAAAAAGAAAGATGTCGGGTTATTGATGTATGAATATCATTTTCTGTGTACAATAGATAAGGTCATCTCCAATTTTCAGTTTGAATGGAAATTCGTGTGTAGTTTTTTGTATTATTTTCCCCTCTCCCTTTTTATGAATGATTATAAACTAGTTTCTTTTTTCAAATTGCACTTGGCATTGGAACAATACCCTGATAATGGAAACTATAAATTTCAAACGAAGACTCTTCCTTGACCTTACTTACCAACCAGTTGAGATCAAATTTCTAGCTGGATGTAGGAGTCTGAAGATTATCTATTTTATTTTTGGGTTACATTCCTATAATTGAATATGAAATGCTCGAGCTCGAATCCTGAAATGCAAATATCATGATAAGGGTGACAAACTGTTTGTTTTATAAATAAATACTTAACAAGGTTAGGGTAATGTAAAAAGGTATCGGTATTAATATTTTTTGAATAATTAAAAGAGGTAACTGTTGAATAAAAATAATAGAAAGTGTTAATATAATTTTACAAAATCTCAAGTGTGATGAGTGTCATTTATTCCATAGTTTGACTGGAGAATGAAAAGGTTGATTTGCATCGTAATGTGTCTTTGCATCTAAATCAAAGGATATGAGGATTTGGTGATAGTAATTTGTGTCTTGGTTGGTAGATAGTAGAGAAATAGGAAGATGGAAATAAAATAATGAGCGAAAATAAGTAAACACCCACCAACTTACTTCCATGTACTCAATTATTTTCATATTAGGTACCAAACAGGTCGTTCACTATTTGGATTTATGTTTGAACATATTAACTTCTTGTTTCATCTAAATTCAAAGACAAAAAACATTTCCGTTTGGGTTCATTAGAATACTGCAAGCTAATATCCGATCACATTAATTGTAATTATATGGATTTATAAATACCAAAGGCGTTTTCTTCCGATGAAGTTCAGCCTGGGTGTCTGAAAGTTATCTTTAGCTAATTCTAATATTACAGATTTCTCCCTTTAGTATGAAAAAGTAGTAAATGTTGGAGAACAATCTGTTTTGAATTTGGTTTCACACGTAATCTTTGTCGCTTCCTTGCTCGAGTGCCACGCCTTCCTTGAAGTAAATGTCCATGCAATTTACCTTCTAATATGGTGACACGTTATATCGGTTGATAGCAACTCTTTGGTGTGGTGACCACGCTTACCTGCACCAGAAGCTGCAATTTTCCTTTAAACGAAAATGGTTTAAAGAAAATCCGAATTTGACGTCACTAATCATTTTCTTACAAAATAGATAATAGAATATACACCATAGGAGAGTTTCCATCTCACAATGCCCTGAGAGTACCACACTACCAATTCTCACCAAATGAACCTTTCCCATTATTTATGAATATTTGCGTACAATAACCAACAACAAATGATTGTTATGGTCCGGTAGCAGAAAATAGAGTATCATCAAGTCTTCAATGGTTTGGAGAATGATGAACTCATCAGGTTCTTGATGGTACTGAAAACAATTGTATTTTGTTCTGATATTGTACAATTTTGAAGCTGAATTGATCAATATAATTAAACAGCAGCTGGACAACCACCCTTTCTAGGGTCACTTACGGCAATAAGAGTACCATGCTTTGAATGTAAGTTGATGTTTTCACCAATTTTCCTATTCATGTTGATAGGGGTTTTGAAATTTTGGACAACAAGTTGAGTGACAGCAAGTACTTCACACTCACTCAGTTCGTGACCTCTTTCTTCCAGGAATATCTTTCTTTCTTTCGAAAGCTCAATCTGATCACCATTCAGTGCAGTCAAGTTCTCATAACGAACTACATTTGGTATTAGCTGCATGAGATAACCATTCAAATTAGATCCAAGTTTGGAGCATCACACATCACGGAACTATCTGAATAAACATTAGTTAGTACCGTGTGATAGATCCTTGGACTCAGAACTGCATCCAAGGGTTTCATTCCCAAGATGAAATGATTAATAAAGACTTGGATCACTGCTGGAACAATGTTCATTCCACCGCTCCCTCCAATTACCCCAACCAACTCGTCATCCTGCAAGAGAAATGTTCATGTGTAAGAATCCTTACTCTGCATATGTAAAGAGGTAATTTTTTTTTTCTTGGTTAGATTTGATGGGATGGAGGTTTGATCACATAACCTCTTGCAAAGTTTTCAATTTGTACAGGTAGAACTATCATGTTCTTCCCTCAAAACCCATTGCATATCAAATTGCAGCCGTTTGTGGCAAATTCACAAGAGTTGTTACTCATACAACAACTTGGACAAACTTCTTATACGATTATGCCTGTTGTGTTTACTTCTCTATTGTAATTTATTACATCAATATATTTTCTCCATAAGTTGTGTAATAAAATTTGTTGTACTAATAACATTTGTTAATGTGCAGATTGCAAGCAATACCTTTGTTATGATAAGAGGAGTCATGGAAGACAATGGTCTTTTGTTTGGTTCAATAAAATTTGCTGGAGCTGGAGGTAGTTTATAAGGGGATATATCAGTGGGTGTAGAGAAGTCATCCATCTCATTGTTGACCAAAATACCAGTAGAAGTAGAACGAAACCCCGCTCCAAAATGATAGTTTATAGTACTTGTTAGTGATACAGCATTTCTATCAGCATCAACAATACACAAATGACTTGTTCCATGATCTCTCAGTTGACTCCACCTGATGATCAACGTGGTTATGGATAACTTTTTGTTAACAACTTGGTTATTTTGCAACATATCTAGCTAAAGAGAATGGTTTCATTCAAATTATCACTAGTAGATCGCACCTGTTCATATAGTAATCTGGAGGGAAAGTAGTGTTATCAAGAATCTTTTGCTGAATATCTTTTGCAAAAGATGGAGAAAGCATTTTTGATATAGTATCATCGATATTTTCAACAAAGTTGGGGTCACCCAAGTTCATTCTAATAGAAAACATGAATTTCAGAGCTTCTATTACTCGATGGAGGCCAAGATTTCCCCTTGCAGCATCAGGATCTCCATAACTGTCCAAGATGTTCAGAACCTGTTCACAAACAAAGAGGAAAACATACATGAAACTAGTAACATGATAAACAATTGTTGCAGAATTCTGTATTGATATTAAAGTGTTGCTTCAAGTTTTGTTTTATTGGAGATATAAAACTCATTCATGCATTAACTAATGAAACTAAAGAGCTCAAGTGCTTAAGAGTTTAGAATTACATGCTCCAATCTTTGAACCAAAATAGTTAAGTCTATTCCCGTTTATACAGTATAGTAATAGAGTCATGAAAAAAAAAAAGATAATGTCACAATTTCTATAGAACAACAGGGAAGTAGCATGCAGAAAAGAGGGGACAGGAATGTACACACCAGAGAAAGAGCAAGTGTTCCGGATGAAGGAGGTGGCATTCCATATATTGTGTATCCCATCACATTCAGAGTCATTGCATCTGTTATTTCCAACCTGTAATTGCGTAAATCCTCCATTGTTAAAATCCCACCAGCTTTTCTGACATCATTGACTAACTTTTCACCAGTGGTACCATTGTAGAAAGCTTGTGGTCCTTGCTCTGCCACTATCTCCAAGGTGCGACCGAGTTCCACATTTTTACACAAATCCCCTTCTTTCAACAAAACTCCATTGGGTGCAAATATTTTTCTTAACCCAGGATCATCCAATATCTTATTGGCATCTTTAGCTAGGTAACCTCCAAGAGCAGGAGACACAACAAAACCATTTTCAGCAAGTTCTATAGCTGGTTGGAGTAAGGTCTTCCATGGCAATCGTCCATGCTTCAACCAAGCTGCATGAAGGCCAGCTAATTCACCAGGAACTCCCATTGACAATGCACCTAATCTCTTATCTTTTGGATTTTTCTCATACATATTCTGTTTGTTGACAGTCACATATATACACAAGCATAAGTTGCACTATTGTGGATTTCTGTGCATGAAATAAATTTTCAAAATGAACTATTATTTGCTAACATTCAACACGTCCAACTAATCAGGAAAAGTCAATCTTGTTCTATGGATCCGAACAAATAAACTTTTTCAGAAGTACTTGCAATTAAAAGTCAATCTGTATAAATAAACTTATGCAGGAAGTACTGAGTATCTTTGAGCTTACTGGTTAGAGAATAATCTCGTTTGCTTTATTATGAAAAAGTTTGTTTTCCTATTTCCTCCTTAAATAGGTCTAACATAATAAGAGCAAAATGTTAATTTGGTCCAATTGCTTTGATAATGTCATCCATGAGGTTAAACGCTTCAAACCTTTGAAGCAGCTAAAGGCGCAGTTTCTCTCATGTCAAAAGCTTGTGCTTGGGAGGTTGAAGAAGATCGAACAACCATGAAAGCGCCACCCCCTATTCCACTTGAAACTGAGAGAACAACACCAATGCATAATGCAGCCGCCACTGCAGCATCAACAGCATGTCCACCCTGCTTAATCAATGAAACACCAATTTCAGAACATCGAGCATCATCAGTTGCAACAACTCCCGCATCTGATTCTACAATATCTCCTTGATTGGCTGTCATCCCCTCAGTATATTTTTCTGCTCCTGATAGTACTCCATAACTAGTGTTGTCTCTGACTACTAGTCCAACAACTGGAAAAAAAAAAAATGGTGCTAGGCATTACTACATATGGTGTATCAACATCAATATGAAAATCGAATTGTGTTAGCGTGAACCTGATGTTTGTCAAAGAATTCGTATACCTTTTCCAGGTTCTATACTACATTCTATGTTTCTAATGTGGATGTATGAAAAAGTTAATCTTTTTCCAACTAAATGTTCAGTTCACATGATCTTCATCAAGGAAATTGGGAGACTTTACTGTTTTTTCGAATTATTTGCTGCAAACTCAGTTCTGGGGGTTCCTAACTTCTTGGAATCTCCACCAATTACAATTATATCAGATTTAACTTTCAAAATAATAATTACAAAAGCCTAAAATATTTAATTATGTAACAATTCATGAGTTTCGTCCCCAACTTGGACATGGCAGCAAATTACTGACAAATGCAGCATGTGCAGTCATATAGAGCAAATAAAAAGAAAAAAAAAATGACATCACCGAAATCTCAATACAACAATTTTTGGTGGCATAAAAACCTTTTGCAGAACCTGTGCATTAATTCTTTGCCTGTACCCATAATCAATCATTTGAAAGCCATTCATCCCAGGCAAAATGTTATCTTTTTTCCTTTCCCTGGCATGAATACAATGAACAGTGTGAAGGGACTCAAGTGGGTGATTGTACGTATAATTTGATTCTAGGCTGAATCTGCTGTCGAATTGGGAGAACTTCTTCAACAAACATTCAATTCACCCATTTAAAACAACATCTTCATGTCATTCACAGTGAATATCTTATGAAAAAAGATTCTTAAAAATCCAAAAAGAAAAAAGAAAAACAGCAGGAGAACTGACTTGCGGCAGCCACGAAGGCCCAGAGGACGATTTTGATCCATTTGTGTTTGTCGGGCAAAACCTCAGATTGTAATATCAAAGGAGAATCCATAATGTTGTGTGGTGAGTGTTCCATGAGGTCCAAGGACGATGATGTTAGTTAACGAAGAAACCTTGATTTTGATGATGCTGAGGCTGTTGTATGGGATACACCTGAATTCAGTTTAGTTTGTTGGGTGAGTGATAATGATAATGTTCATAGCACATCACAGAATACAAGAACACCCCTGTAAAGCACATACACTAGACAATAACATAACATAACATTTAAGATCCTAGCCAATTGAGAAAAAGAACAAAAAAATGTGGGCATTTGTTAATTAACAAGATTTGTTCTTGTTTGATATCAAATATTTCCAAAATAATATACATTTTTACATCATACCATCACTCAGGTCCACCTTCAGTAAAAGGCTAGAAGAAGAAAAAGAAAATAAGAACTTTTTATGGTAATGGAGACGATTCTTTCAAAAAACACTTATATATAAAGAAAAAGTGGACTATTGATTGGAGTTTCTTTTTTAAGCTAAAGTTTTTCAGATGATGTATCGTTCAATTAACAAATGCGTGAAGGCATCAAATTCCATTATTAGTAGTTGTTGGGGTTAAGTTAGAAATTATGTCATATTCATGGGTTCTTTTTGTCTGGGTGAAAAAAATATTATAGAAATGGATGAATTTAAAAAATAATGAACATGAATAAGTCATATTTTAATTATTTTTGTTATAAATATATTTTTTAGTGAAAATAAGTATATTTTAAAATATAATTATGTTTTTTAAATTTTAAAACTTTTTTTCTCTTTTATTAAAAAAAAATTGAAGTCGAAATTTTCAATCATGACTTTAATATTTTTAAATTAAATGTTGTATTTTAAAGCACAAAATTATTAATTTTACAAAAATATAAATGATTTTTAGAATACAACAATCTTATAATTTATAATCTATATATTAAAACATGATTATTAATGTAATAAAATAATTAATATGATTAAAAACTTTATAATTTAATTTTTATTTATTTTTATATTCTTTTAAATTTAGAAAAACTTAATATCAAATAGAATTTATAAAATTTATTAAGTTTAATTATATTTTTTTATGCTCAAAATATTTGTTTCCAAAATGTTGTCTTTCAAAATTTTCTAACAAAGAAATTATATCATATGATTATGTAAAAAAAAATATATACCATACAAGAAGGATTATACTTAAAAAAAAGTGTTGACAACATGCTTCAATGTTAATTGGTGATGGAGAATATGAGAAAAAGTTTGCAAATTTGGTTTTTTAATGAAACTCCCTTTTGAATGTCTAATACAACAAATCACATCATAAATATCTTCATGTTTGAAAATTGCATTTAATAAAACCTTTAAGAGGATGTAACCATTTTCTCATTGTTTGAGTATGGGTGGAACTGTGAATTTTGATTTTTCTCTTCAAAGATTTGTATTCACAAATATTGAAAATTGATATTTATAGAAAAAAAAACTCTATCTCTCAACATTTTTACTTCAAAAAATTTTATTTTATTTTATTTAAAAAAATGTCAATGATAGTTTAAAAAAAAATCCCACAAATGTAGTTATAAAATACATTGGACAAAACTCAAGATATTTTATAACTTGGATGCAAATTTTGAGAGTATTTTTTTTTTTCAAAAGATTATTACAAGGTTGTTTAATTTTAGAGAAAAATACAATTGGGTTAGTTTATTGTCTATTCAATAAATTTGATATAGTATTTTATAAAAAAAATTATTTAATGTTCTACAATATGATTTTTTTCTTACAAATCATGTTACTTTATGAAAATATTCAATAAAAAGTATTATAAAAATATTTCTTTAATCAAGAAATATCAATCTTACCAAGTGAAAAGTGAATTTGGGGTAAGCATTAATGGCATTAAATATTCCTTTATACAAAATATTAAGTATAAAATGTGTATATCTGCATATTCTTAAGAATTTTCACTTTGAAGCATGACATCATATATTAAATAATTATTATAGTTTCATATTTAAAAATTAATATATATTATAAAATATGTTTTTATTACATATATGAACAAGTCCTTCACTTTCTTTAAATTTCCATCATGCATTTAGCCTGATTTTTGCACACAATTCATAATTCAATCTTTGGTTTAAATTCCAGATGTCATCGAACACCTTATCCACGTCAACCTGAACACCTCTTTATTTATGACTTTTGCATAAAATTATAATTAAAGGGGAAACTAAATTGATAAATGTGCATATTTAATGTTTAATCTCGTTCTTTTATTCTCATGACCAATTTTAATCATTCAAGTAATTAAATAACATATTATTAATAAATAATAAATAAATATAAAAAATTAAAAAAATATAAAAATGAGAGATAAAATTTATAAATATATAAATAAATATATTTAATAATAATTAAATTTAGAAAGACTAAAATCATAAATATTAATATAAGTTACACAACTTTAGGGATGTAGGGTGAGTTTTACCTCCTCGACCCCTGATGTTTTTAATCATCCTTATCTCCGATCCTCGTCGGGATTGGAAATTAAGTTCACATCTTCAGTTCTATTAAGTTTCGGATTTCCTTACCTTGACCCATCCTTGTTCTATGATATTTTTTTAAAAATGATTATATATAAATTATGATAAATTAATTTTAATATTATTCTCTTTTATATTTTATTTTTATAAAAAATAAATATAAGTTTATTAATTTTTGAATATTATTGTTTATTAAGTGTATATTTTAGTTTATTATATTTATATTAAAATATTTATGCACAAAAAATATATTTGATCATTCTTTTTTTCTTATTATAAGCTACTAATCCTTTAAAACTATTAATCCTTGTAAAAAATATATAATAAAACAAGTGTGAACTAATTATCCTCTTAAAATAATTATGAAATACATATTTAAAAATACTAATAAATAAGTAAGCAAAGTTTCTCACAGAAAATAATATAAGAAAAGCTGCATAATAGTGCATAATAATATATATAAGAAAAATAATAAATATTGAATAATTTAATAATCATCTTCCAAATGAACAATAATGTCACTGTCTATTAATTCACCTACATAATTTAAAACAAAATATATTATTGAAGAGAGAAATAAAATATTAAAAAATAAATAATAATATTCTTTGAATAAATAAAATAATATTTTCATCACCTGAATCCATCATATTGAATAAAGTAGTATAGTCATCAATTAGTTGAGAATTCACACCACCTAAAAAAAATATAAAGAAAATATTTGTCAAACTCTAAAAATGCAATCATTAAATATATATATATATATATATATATTTAAAAAGGTATATAAAACATTATCACTATTTTTAACACTCCATAACCAACTCCTAGCAAACATCAAAGCATCTAGAGTAGTTCAATGAAGTCGACTGCGATGGGAGCTTAATAATTGACCACTAGTACTAAATGTAGCTTGAAAAAACTACACTAGAGATAGTGATAGTTAATACATATTTAGCAATTGCTTGAAGTGTTGGGTATTTGACTTCATTCAACTTTCACCACATTAGAATATTAAAATTAGTTTTTCTTGGTAAAACCTCTTCTTCTAAATAATAGTCTAAATTTGTTTTAACACATGTACTTCTTGCCCTTTTTTTCTCAAAATATACATATCATACTCAGTTAATGCATCACCAGCAACATTAGTATCATCCCTTATTGAAGACTCGCCAACTGTGTCTTTATTCATTTTCGTTTGATACTCAGAAATCAAGTCATAACATAATTGAAAAATCATTCTAACTTGCAAAAAGTATTCATGATCATACAACTTTTCATAATAATATTCAAGTAACTCCGTTTTATATCTAGGATCCAAAACAGTAGCAACTCTCATAATAACATGAATCACATTTCAATAATTTGAACAACATTTTCTTAGACATTTTTTTAATCATTTCATTCGAAGATACAATCCACTCCGTCAATGTCAATTTAATCTCACATATATTGAGAAAATACAAATTAGCAGTTGGATGTTTAGTAGTAAAAAATAATTTTGTTATAAAATTAAACAATTTCAACATTTCACAAACATCATTTACAAACTGTCATTATAAACTAGTTGGCAAACAAGTATACTAAGAATTTGTTTACTTCAATCAATTAAACACATCCTCGTATATTATGACAATTTTGTATGTTGAATTCCATCTTGTTAGACAATCTAAAACCAAGCTCCTAGTACAAGAGATATGCAATTGTTTTGTTGTTTCTTCAAACTTTTCTTTCCTCTTATATGTTATAGTCCAATATGTTACACTACCCCGAATTTTTTCAACCTCATCTTTCACTACCTCTAATCCATCTTTGACTATCAAATCTAATATATGAGCACAACAATGCATGTGAAGTAAATCTCCATCTCTCAATAAAGTTTTAATTTGCAATTTCCCCTTAATTTTTTTAACTGTTGAATATAGAGAAAATAGGGTTTAGAATTAATTTCCCTTGTGTATAAATCACACATAGGGTGGTCTATTTATAGTAGAGAGATACAACTAAAAGAGTAACTGAAAGTAACAGAATAAACAGAAGATATTGTGGTTACCAATATCTAACAATATCTTAACAATATCAAATAATATCTAAACAATATCTAACACTCCCCCTCAAGCTAGAGCATACAAATCGTATGTGCCAAGCTTGTTACAAATATAATCAATTCTAGGACCCCGTAAAGATTTAGTAAAAATATCTGCTAACTGATCACTTGAGTTAACAAACTCGGTCTTGATATCTCCAGACATAATCTTTTCTCGAATAAAATGACAATCAATCTCAATGTGTTTGGTCCTCTCATGAAAGACAGGATTAGAACTAATATGAAGAAGCGTACTGATTGTCACACACAAGTGTCATTTGAGTGACATCTCCAAATTGTAACTCTCTAAGCAATTGTTTGAGCCAAACAAGTTCACAGGAAGCTGAGGTCATAGCTCTATATTCTGCTTCTGCACTGGATCTTGCCACAACACTTTGTTTCTTACTTTTCCATGAAATCAAGTTACCAC